ACACAAAGCCTTACTCGATATAGACTGAGTACCTGCCAAATAATGGTCAAGATGAAAATGTTTGAAGCTGTAAATATGCCATCAGGAGTGATGAGGAGATAATCCTAAGCAATGCAGTAATTTTTTAAATGATTAAAAATGATTGTTTTGGCAAAATATATTTACTCCACATCGTCAGATGTATAGCTTTCTGTTTTATTAGGACACTGTTTTATGGGGACTTCATAGTATTTATTTAATTAATCACAAATGAGTTTACTTCACTTGTCCTGTAGTGTGTAGTTTTACATGTGTCTTATGAGGACCCAGTTTTCTAAGGCCTGTGTGTGAAATAACATTTTTGTGTTGTATTAGAGTTTATAATGTTGACTCTTTTTAACTTTGTTGGATTTTTATGTGTTTTTAGAGGTCACTGGTTGAAGATCGGGCATCTATAATGAGCGTGAACATCTCTGTTCTGATGATGAGGTATTTGTTAATTTTTTTACCCTGTATTTTCACTCCACTAGTCTTCTTTTACCTTTTTTTTAATTATCTGCTGTGTTACTGGACGTTCAGCATGTGGCAAAGCCTCAAACTAAGTTCTTTCTGGTCTCTGTCTAGCTTTTTCAGTCTACACAAAACCTTACTTGATCTAGACTGTTTACCTGCCAAATAAACAACTTGCTACAGTTTGGTTGGGCCACAAAAATGCCATTAGTGAATCTCGTGGATAATCCCTGATGTATTGTCAAGAGGAATATGAAGACCCGACCATGTCAATGACTTCATTGTCAAAGCGACCTGGACTTTAATTGCACCAAAGGCTCATTGCCTCCATAACATTGCTTCCAATTTGAAATAAATTTTTTTCACAGGGGTCTGCTGGTGCCTAGCTCCAGTGCACTTCGGGCGAGAGGCAGGGGTACACCTTAGACAGGACAGGTCTCTAGTCCATCACAATCCTTTTAACTACAGAATAAAATTTTGCAGATGTTCCCACGATGTCGTGTGAGGAGTCTGCTAAACGTTCTGAAGGTACTAGAGGTTTGGATAACTATAGCACGATGTCTGTAAGTACACAAGTTCTCATATTTTAGGATGTCCTAAAATATGTGTTCCTCATTCCAGCATGTGAAAAAGAGGCAGGAACAGCAAACCCTAAGAAAGGTCAGAAAGTTGACTGGCCAGATGGTTAAACCTACAATTAGAAGGGCTTACATAACCAAAGGAAAACTGACCACTTTGATAGAGTGCAAGCAGTGCAAATCTGCAGAGGAACCTGTTCTGACAAGACACAGTGCACAAAATATTCAAGATTTTATGAGAAAAGAGCTTTAAAAGAAATCCCAATACCTCTTTTTATTCAATTTAAGTTGACATCGATGTAAATGTCTGTATTACGAACTTTGAATATTATGTAACAATTCGTTACACAATAATTGTTGAAAATAAAAGGACCGCTTAGACTGTTTGTGTTTTGTTGGTCAAAGTGTATTGTGTTTTTTTGCTTATCAAACATAAACGTGAAAGAAACGGATACAAAAACACCTTAATGTCTCTGAATATTTCGAGGTCCAAGAGTTTTCAGTTCATAAAGCTTCAGTTCCCACATAGTAACCCATAATCCAAAGTGACATAAATATATTCTTAAGATAAATACAAAACAACAAACAAGTTCCTCAAATGAAGGTTCCAAATACCGTATTTTTCGGCTCATAAGGCGCACTTTTTCTTCCCCAAAACTGAGGGGGAAAAGTTGGTGTGTCTTATAGACCGAATGCAGAGCGCCGCGAAGTCCGGTCACGGCCGTATGAGAGGCGTAAGAGCTCCGGAAAAAACTACATTTCCAACAATGCCTTTGGCTACGGTAGCCGCAGCGGTGCTTCTGCATCCATACTCACGAGCTACAGAGCTGCCGTTTCTCACACATTGAACGTAAGACTCTCGCATTTGAGTGATCTCTCACGCTACAAACCCGATTTCTCACGCTAAAATACATTTCAAGATGTGAAATGGGCACAGCTAATAGTTTATGTTTCTTGAGCCTGACGATAAGATGATGATCGATCTGCATCGTCTTCAGTCTGTGAGGGGTTTTTTTCCGCTAAACATTCACTTGGACAGTTTCACAAACTTAGACAGTTTGATCCTTCATTAATGGAGTTATGTGGGTTTTTATAAGCTGACAAAAATCTAAATGGTTTATATTAGAACAGCAAGCATACAATTGTTTCCATGTGTTGACGTCAGGTGCATAGATGAGCGCTCTCTCTCTCTCTCTCTCTCTCTCTCTCTTGCTCGCGTGGGGAAAACAAAATGGTCTCAATGACTGAAACTCTTCTTTAATAAATTCAAACTCAAATCATCTCTCAATGGTACATCTCACACATGTACATACTAGATAACAAACGTAAGTAACGTGCTCTGCAACTGGGTAGTGTTCCTACCGTAATAAATTGTCACTTAAATAAGCTATAAATAATGAGTTATTTAACATTAAGGAGTAGTTACATTTATTTTACATTAAAATAATTATTAACTAATTATTAAATAATTATTATTTTACATCTGGGGGTGCCCAGATTCTTTTAAAGGGGGGCTTGACTAAAAAAGTTTGAGAACCACTGTATTATTACTAATGTGGGGGCAATCTTACTAGCCATTATTAGTAATGTAGTGACAATGTTACTAGCTATTATTAGTAATGTGGTGACAATGTTACTGGCTATTACGGTATTACTAATGTGGGGGCAATGTTGCACTGGAACAGTGATGGTGATAATGAATGGTGGACTTTAGAATGATGAGTGGGGGCAAAGAAAAACATTACAGCCTCTTTTTTTGTTACTTTTACTGTTTACTGTCTGTTCATGTTACATGTTTGGCTGTTAACTTTTACACAGTTGATATAAAATATTTTACAAAAGTATTTGGTTCAGAATCTTTTTTTTATAGATCTTCCCCTTTTAAAATTGGGTTTTGAAAAGCAATGGTTCATGTTATGAATATCCATGTTTGTGTTTGCACTTTTCTATTTTGTACCACACCAGACTGTTCAGGGGTATTGAGATTAATAGAACAAATGTATATTATTGATAACAATTTAAGTTAATGTTCATACATTCATTCAATTGATTATTTTAATCACATATGATCAGGTGCTGAAAAATCACATTTAATTCTTTAATGGGAATGTGTGCTGATATTCGGTACTTATTAATCACCTTAGTCTTGCTAAAGCACCATTTTGTCGAATTTGTGTATTGTGTGGGATTGTGCTCCTGTAAATCACATTGGTCCATGTAGTCCACTAAAAAGTTATATTTAGTGTAGTGTAAAAACTGAGTCTCTATAAACTGGTTAGACCCTGTAAACACTTATTAAGTCAAAGGCGGGACAAAAATGTGAGGGGCGTGGCAGTCCCTGTGTACCACCAAAAAATCGTGTTACTGTTTTATCAGTTTTACTGTGTGTATAGGAAATCTAAAGTGACCAATGTAATCTACAGATGATTATTGAATTTTTGATGGTGGTTTTATCGCTGTGGGTCACTCTTAAAAGGGTGTCCCCTCAAACCACCATCCTACTGGTTTGGGAATAAGTGTCCCTCTAAACCACAAAAACCCGTATGTGTGTGTGTGTGTGTGTGTGTGTGTGTGTTGAAACCTGTTTTCTGAGTATAGATGGATCTTCAAGAGCTGAAAATGGGTCTTAAGGTCTTTGTTAAGGAAATGGTACATCATCAGTTTGCCATGCTGAGAGTCCAAACTCAGATGATTCTAGAAAGTCTTATCTCTTTTGTCTCATTTTGTTCATTATGTTGCTGATTCCAAATTGAGAAAATTGTGAAAAATAACAAATTTAAATAAACATCTTATCAATTATGCATAAGTATTGGAAAACACCTGTTTATAATAATTGAATTGTTATATTTGGAGTGAAGTAAATTACCAAAATTCTGTTAAAATGCTGTATTGCTGTCTTTTAAGCAGGTAATAATTGACTTTAAGCAGTTACTGACTGCAGTAGTCATGTATTAATTATTTAATTAATGACTTGAGCAACAAATGTTACATAAAGACATACAGTAATGCTGCAAAAAATACATAAATAAAAATCATTTTTAATCTTATAAAAATAATATTTTTTTAGGTTTTCAAAAGAAAACCCAATACGTTTTTCTCTTCTTTTTTAAGAGAAAAAAATACAAATGTATGTACAATGAATCAAGTGTTTTCCAATTTTTATTTTTTGTTTATAATATTAGAGACGAAAAAGGTTCATTTAAATGCCCACATTTGAGTAGTTGTTGATGGACTTAAGCATGAAGAACCACTAAGTTTTATAAGCCGACACTTTTATCAGAGTGCTTAAAAATTTGGGGGTAGAATTGATAGAAAGCAGTGTGCGGCCTTTGTAACAAGCAAAGTGTCATTTATTCATTTGGTTGATTGATTTGCCACAAACATCCTTTGTTGCTTCCCTGTTCTAATAATGCACTATATACAGTGTTTCAATGAGGACTATGCAGAAACTTTCCACACTCTAAAGCCCTCCAGTATCTCAGATGGGAGCATGATGGATGGGTTTGCCAAAACAGAAAGCGAGGCTGAAGATATAAAGAAAGAATCAAAATAATCAGTCCATCCGCAGTCTGTCTAGTATACAGTTTGATTTATTTCAATAGAGTGAGTGCGAAAGCATCATGAGTACATTTCCAGGTGATAATAGCTTAAGGTAAAGAGGCACTTACAGCAAGCAAAAGAGTGAATGAGAGAGAAGAAGATATAAAACAAAAAGCTGAGCCATTGAGTGCTCTGTCGGCTTTACTGAGAGAAATGAGTCAAGTGCCACTGCATCGATTTACATCTCATCTCTAAAACACGTTCTCATTGAGTAAATAAGCATTATTCCAGCCCTCTAGATTTTTTTTTTCTTTTAAAACCCTTCTGGATGTAGCCAGTTCAGATGCAATCAATGAGGACTTATCTGTACACAATGTAATATATGCATGGTACTTTCCTGTGGCTCAGTCAGTAGAGCATTGTGCTTCCAATGCAAAGATCATTGGTTCTCATCCAGGGAAACAAGTGCTGATCAAATGTCTTCATTCCTTGAAATAAAAGTGTCTGCAAAATGCGTAAATGTAGTTGTAATATGCATTCACCGGCCACTTTATTGGGTACACACTTCCAAATCAGCCAATCACATGGCAGAAACTCTGCATTCAGGCATGTAGACATGGTCCATGATGATCTGCAGCATTTCAAACTGAGCATCAGAAAGTTGATTTTAGTGAATTTGAAAGTGGCATGGTTGGTGGTGTCAGTATTACCAGGATTTTCACACGCAAGCATCTTAAAATCTGTGCGATAGAGTTCAAACGTCTTGTTGATTGAGGTGTGCAGAAGAGCAACTCTGAACGCACAACACATCGATCCCTGAGGTGGATGGGTACAGTAGCCAGAAACGACTCTGGGTGCTACTCTTGTCAGTTAACAACAGGAAACTGAAGCTATAGTTTGCTCAGGCTCAACAGACTGGACAGTAGTCCATTAGCTAGTCTGATGAGTCTCTTGCCAAACCTTGGACCCATTAGTACCAATTGATTGACAATACTGACCATGTCCATCCCTTTATGACCAAAGTGTACCAATCTTTTGATGGCTAATTCTAGCAGAATACCGCGCCATAAAGTGTGAATCATTTCAGACATGACAAAGTGTTCACTGTACTCAAATGGGGTTTTTCCAAAGTGTTATGTGCCCCAATTCTGTACCCATTTGGGTGAGGGTCTAAATGCAGGTTAAACTGGGCATAGGCTATTCTGTTGATTGGTGACAGGGCAGTTTTTGAGCTCACTGATTGGCCAGAAATAACAATCACGGCAAGCACCATTACAATGTGTGATACATTGTACATAGCTCCAAAACAGTCTGCAATTTGTATTTTAAACTGAGCCTTTTTTGTTTTAGTGATGTAAACAATAACTGAAAAAGAATGAAAACCATCACTATTTCGGCAACATCCTTTGTTCCTTTGTGTGGATTTTATGGCTACAATGTTGCAATTGTATTTGCTACAATGTCACCAAGCACAACTTGAATGATATAAGAGTGGCATGACATAACAAAATCAATCTCAAAATCGACCGATTCTTGACAAACCCAGGTGAGTAGAGCTAAGCCAATCCAAGCTGAGTTGAGCCATTACTAGAATACGACGGAAAACAATGGTTTTGAGACAAATATTGTTTAAAACAGGCAAAACCCAGAATAAATAACCTAAATCTGTTTGCAAAGTTGAACATCTTGCTATAACCTATTGGGTTGCATTTATTATTGTATGCCATGTAGCATTTAGTATTGTAAACCCCATTAATGAAGGAGGATATGATGTCATTCACTATTAAGCAAGGACGCGAAGCTTTAATAAAGTGCATTTCAAACAAAGACAACAGGAAAACCATTTTTGTTGCTTTCAAGGGAGGACAATGTTATGGACAGAGGGGTGTTACGATACACTGCTCACAATACAATACATATCACAATGTTATGTCCAAAATGTATAGCACAATATTACAAAACTAATTTTAACCCACTTACAAAAAAAGTTCAGAGACCGCAAAGCTGAGAAAGCTAAAGACTAGTTCGATTTAGCTTGTTTGGTAATGTTTCTCATTTAAAATGTGAAATGAGAATAATTGTCTTTTGGTCAATATTAATTAAAACAAAAAGACATGATAAAGAAGTTTCAGAAGTGACTAGAATCACCATCACTCCTTGAAGCAAACACACTTCAGCTCCTAGATGATGTATCTCAGTAACTCCACAATATGAACTGTGACAGTCAATTGTATTGCTGATATATTGTTACACCCCTAGAGGATCGTCATCTCCAGCAAGAGTGTAGGGCTTTCTTACTGCACTATATTGAATATTGAGTTTCAACTCCACCGTGTGCACTGATTCTTGTTTATTTTCTTGTTTCCACCTCAGAATTGTGATGTCTGTTGCCATACGGTGATGCAAGAGACAGATATATACAACATGGCTGTTTGCATTGAATGTTTTAGCACATCTGAAAGCCACCTGGGTCAAAACAAAATAAAATGCAATTGTGCTATTCATCTGGTCATGGAAATATCCGATAAATGTCACATGAGGGTCACATCAGTTTGCTATTTGACCGTAGCCTTGGATATACATGCTCACTTTTACACAAGTAGTTATACTATGTTGACACCTTTTTGTCTTATTTGAATGAGGGGATTTGATAATAAATTGATTGCTTTTACAGAGAAAAATCTATGGTGGTGAGAATATAAATCATTGTTATTGGATAATAGTTATACAAAAAAAAGCTGAATTTAACCATAGTAAAGGGAAATGTTGACATAATGCTCCATCAGCTTCAAATCTCCACAACTGAAGAAAGATGTGGGTTGTTACAGTCACTCCATACTGAGCACAAAAAGTGTTCATTCCCTCTGTCTCTCTCTCTCTCTCTCTCCCCCCATCCTTCCCTCGCTCACTTGCACTCTCTCAGCATCTCTTTGGCTCGCTCAGGAGCTGTTAGTGTGTATCTGAGGCTTTGAGGCAGATCAGAAGAGGGTTTCTGAGCAGCTCTTTACAGCACATGCAGTGTAGAGGACTCGCTGACTCTCATGGCCGGACGCTCTCAGCTGGGCTCCACGCCAGAGAGGGAAAGAGCAGAGCAAAGCAGAGCAGAAGAAAGATAAAGAAAGCTTGTTGGCGAAGGAAACTTGTGAATTTAGGTTCAAGAATCTGGCAAAGAACAATTTACCCAGAGGGAACAACACTAATTACCTCCCTGTGTATCCTGGTAACTAGTTTCCGTTAACAACCACGCTGTAGCTATTAGTGTTAGATACATAGCCATCATTAGGGGTTTAGCACTCCTTTATTATTTGTTAATCTCATTAGTGCAATATTATATGAGCTGTATAACGTAGCAGTTCTCTACAACATGGTTTTGTTTTAGGTTTGTTTCAGTCTTTTAGGAAATACGGATGATGCATCACCGCTTTTCGCAATTGTGCAATTTTAGGCCAAATATTTTAAGATTTGGACAGCAAGCATGAGTCTGCACATGCTCAGAAGGGATTCTGGAACAAGCCTTGATGTAAGGCTCGTCTTAGTAGTTTCAGCTTCCACTGTACGGATAAGAATCATCATAACATTTTTTTAATAACATAAGTGAATAGGAATACATTTTAAAACATTGGCAAATACGCCATTGATTTACATGGGCAAGGAGTGGCTTAAGTCTTACACTCTCCAAGGGTGCAAACAAGATCCTCCCTGTCTCATTTAGTGGACACACTTGGATTAAATGATAATTTTATGATCAAAAAGTGTTTTTAACAAAACAACAAACACCTCTGGAACATAATTATAGGATAAATAGAGCCATTTTTGCCTAGCATAAATGTACTCAATGCAACTCGCACCCTTCACAGTGCAAGTCATAAATCATGGTTCGCCTGGCACCAGTTTGCTTCAAACATGACCTCTTTCCACCTCTTAAGGAAAAACACAGATCCACTAGAACAGTTCATTTTTTTAACTGGGCATTTATGAGCCATTAGAATGAACAAATGTCCCATTTACACTGTCAATGGAATATGATCCAATTCCAATTTTTGATTTTAGATCGGATCTGAAAAACGCAAGCCGATATTCAAGTTCGAAACTAGGCCTCATTCATATGTGGAAATAAATCAGATCTCGTGTCATGTAAACAGGAAAATTGCAGTGTGATGTGTCGCAAACTCAACGTCAATAAACAATTTAGTATGAAGTCACCTACGAAGTGTGTGTAAACTTCATATCGCAAAAAATGCTGGAATGACGAAGGGGAAAATGTCCTCAAAAAATGTGGCTATTGAACTTTAGAGAATTTCAGAGAAGAGCTATCATTCAGCATATTTCACGTGCTCCATCTTTCGCACTTCACAACACTATAACATCCTGGCAACTGTTGCAAGGGACGTGTAGACACAAATGGGATATGGGTTGCATTTGACAGATATATAAATCTGAATTAAACATTCCTGTGTAAATGAGGTCTAAGAACAAGTCAACTTTTAATCAGCATTATTCACTAGTTCACCATATCGTTAATTCGCCTGGTGACACAAGGATTATTTGGTACCACTCTGAAAAGAGGCTCTGGAGACAGGAAGGAACCTAAGATGGAAATACCTGTGTGGTGAAGGGGTGGGACTTTATAACCGGGAAATTGATAGCCGGCCAGAGCTAATTAAAAATTTAGTGCCTGCAGCAGGTTTCATGGTCAGGCTTCTCCTGAACTTTGTTTTTAAAATCCCCACTCAGAAAGGTAAAACTAAAGATCCATTGGAAAGGAGCTGCCTTGATAGATGCTTTAAAAACCTTAATGTACCAGAAATCACCAGATATTTTACTTTCACTCATAGCCATGCTATGATTTATTTAGTATAAGTTTAGTTTCCAGACATCTCGAGCACTGTGCTCAACGACATTGTTCTCTCCCTCAGAGTCCTAAAAGAACATCTATCAACACACCTCACTTGAAATTGCTTTGAGGTAAGTTTCCCCACTCAATGTTCACCTGCAGAAGCCTCTCTGAAACGTAATTCTTTGTTCTTCTGCAAAACAAGGCATTGATTTAAGAGACTGGAACAGATTACAAGTGAAATGTTCTTGTACTGGGGTATGCAATAACCTTGTCAATAGTTCAATGAAAGGTTAAATTAATTCCTAAATGTTCTTTTTTAAGTTAGTTATTTGCAAAATGCTCTATATCTCTTACTCTTTTTGTATGAATGTGGAATATGTAATAAAAAAAAACTTCTTTCCTTGGTATGTGGTTACAACTCAATCGATTACATTGTCAATAAAATGGCTGAAATGACCCTGCAGTTTTATTAAATAATTCACAATGAGTGAATAAAATACTATATTCTCTTAGTGAATATAATGGAATTTATCTAAGAATATAGTAGCATCAGTTCACGGGACTGGATTAGTTTATTCAACTATTTTGAACTACTTAAAACTTTTATAAATCAACATGTGTTAGT